ATTTTTTTTCTGGCAAAAGAAAAAGTGAAGATCTCAAAACCTTGGCTTCAGAGGACAACATTATATGGGAGCTTTATAAAAACTGTCCAGCCTCAGGAGATGTAGTCTGGGTTATGGATTCTTTGGATAAAAACACTTTGATGAGCATATACTGTTGGCAGTGTTACCTAAATTATTAGTTCCTCAGTGGGTTACCAGGACAACTCCATAAATTGAGACTTTCTGATCTGTGTTTCTTCTTCAGCACGTTTTTGTCTGTGCTGTTGGGCAGCCAAGGCAGAGCAGGCCACCCAGTGGTCAGGGTGCTCAGTCAGGAGGGATCTTGCATGGCTCCCACTAATCAGCAGATTTCTTAAATGTCAGTAGGTTTCTGCTTTCCTTTGTGAAATGGGAAATGCTGTTCCCTGTTTGTGGGGGAGGATAAAAGTGCTTTCCTGGTGAGATACTTGGACAACAGGTGACAATGGCCACCATGCTAGAACCTAAAGTAAACATTCTTTGGAGCCCAGGGGTCAGTCACAGTGCACAAATCATGGTGTTGACCTAGCTGCAAATAGGAAGGACAGGGTCAGAATCAAACCTGTAGCATTTAGGAGTTGAATAGAACTGCTAAGCCACTGGTTTGTGTCATGGCAGCTGTGTGTTAATATATTATTTCTGATCTGAGTGGCTTCTTGGATCATGTTTGCATTAGTGACAATACTTTTCACATAAAAATGAAACTGTTTTAATTATGTTCTTTGTCTCCTTGGTAAAATGACCCTGATTTGGTCTGGTGTGGCCTGGACAGTGAAATGTGCTGGTGTGGAGGCCTGGAGAGTTGCTGTATTACTGTAGAGAGCTGATATATGGCTAAAAGTCAGCCAGAACCACTGCAAGCTATGTAGGCAGGGTTATGTAGCAGAACTGCATGGGTTTATAAGAAAGTTGGGGACAACCCTTTTTTGGCAGGGCCTCTTGCAATAGGACAGAGAGTAATGGCTTTAAACTAAAGGAGGGTAGATTTAGACAAAGTGTAAGGAGGAAGTTTTTTACAGTGGGTGTGGTGAACCACTGGAACAGGTAGCCCAGAGGTGGAAGATGCCCCATCCCTGGCAACATTCAGGATCAGGCTGGGAGAGCTCTCAGCAGCCAGCTCTAGGTGAAGATGTCCATGCTCATTGCAGGGGGTTGGACTAGATGGTCTTTTAAGGTTCTTTTCCAACCCAGACTGTTCCATGATTCTGTGGTGATTTTGCAGGTGCTGAGCATTTGCTTCTGTCCAGCTGCTGTGTGGGAAGCCACTGTTGTGCTGCCTGGGGACCCCATGGTGACATGTTATTGTCATGGCATTCAGCAGCCCCTGCAGCAAACTTGTCTAATGGGGAATGTTGTCCTCCTTCAGGGCTGATGCCATGGAAGCACCACTGGAGTGCTCCATCCTCAAGAAGCCATTTCCAGTGTGGGCTAACCTGCTGCTCTAATATGCCTCTCTTAAATCAGGGAGGGAGAGGTCTGTCTCAGTAAGAGCAGGCTAATACACTGGATTTTAAATCCTTCTAGATGTTTCAGAGTGACATTGTGGCATTATTTAATAATTTTTCTTTTGTATGTGTTTTAAATTAGATTTTCCCAGTGATATCACTGGAGGTACCACTGTTGAACATAGTAGATTATTGTGCTTCATTGAAAAGATTGTTGAATTGTCGTTTCTAAATCCATACAGTGCATAGGTGAAGGCTTTCTTTGGGAGACAAACCTGTGGCCTAATACAGGTGTAAAGAAAAAAATGCTCTTTAATTATTTTGTAAATCCCATTCCTTATTTTCTATTAAAAAAAACACCCTTGAATACATTTTTCTGCACACTGAGAGCAAATTTACTTTCTGTATTCAGTGGAAAATAGTGCATTATGAGGGAAATGAAGTAAAGAGTAAGGTTTTTTTCTTATTTTCTAGCCAGCAAGTGTGAAATCCTGTACTGGGTGGCTGAACAGTTGAAAGGGAGAAATAAAATAAAAACCCTTTTGCCAGATGCATGACAATTTAGCTTCTAAATGTGGAGAACATCTGTAATATTTTTAAAAGGAAGGTAACCAAAGGTAGGTGATCAAGGGCACATGTTACTGGAATTGCTTTGGACAAGTTTGTTACATCTGTTTCAGAGTAAACCTTTTTTTGTTTTGAGTCTAGGATGGCTGACTTAAACAGGGAGTGTAGCTATGGAGAGGTGTGGTCTAGAGGAGTCTTAAGGAGATGAAGATGTGTCACAGTGAGCTACACCAACCACAGGATCTTGACCAGAAGCCTTGAGAGTGAATCAGCTGGGTTCTGAATAGGAGCCTTAGAACTTCGTGTAGGGAACAGTTTGCTTGCACAGCTGGACTTGCAAGGATAGAGGATTGTGTAAGTAATGCTGCCTCAGAAAGGGACCAGAGAAACAACTTAATGGATGCACCCTTCTGGCTGATTCAGTGCAAGAGGCAACAGCAGTATTTAAAGGCAACGTTTATTTGGCAAAGGAAAAAAAAATAATCCAGAGCACACATGTACACTAAAGATGGATTTGAAATGGACCCTGTGACAGGTTGTGTGTGTGTGGTGCTGAGCATCATTCATTCATACTATTTACATTTGCAGCAGGTATAAGGACATCTCAAGTGGTAAGTATAGGCCTGGAAGTAAGAACTCATAGAGAATCAAAAAGAAATAACCGTCAGTTCTGACTGTGCCTTAAATCACTAAAATAGAAGCTGAAATCCATATGCATTTTACAAGCAAGGGTCTGCCACTTTGGAAGGATTTCCTCACCCAGGAGATGTTAGCAGGTAGGGTTTTTTTCCTTTGTCCTGTTTCTGTCCTGGTATTTTGCTTGGCAAATATGAAAAGCAGGTTTGTTTTGTGAGATTAAAGTGTCATTACATAGCACAAAAATCAGAGCCCTTGACAGCATCAGTGCCTTACAATGGACACTTGTCCATAATGATACAGTTCTCATTCCATGGACAAACAAACAGTTCTGTCTGTGGCTGATTCCTGTGCAGAACAAACAGGCTTTGCTGATGCTTCAGTTACAAGTATCTGGCTCTTCCTGCATAATTTCTATCCTGGCCCTGCACAATCAGACTAAAAGCTGCCAACTCTTAGGAACTGTCTTTGTGAATCAGTGGCTGGTCAGCATGAAGCAGTCCTGACTGGAAACGGACATGGAATTTGTAATTTTATGAGGATGTGAGGGAAAGGGAAGGAGATGGAAGGGGATTTTTTTTTGCCATTAAAAGCCTTACATTAAAAAAGTTTAATTGAGTTTTCAGAGTAGTTTCCAAAAGCTAGGGGAGGAAAGTATGGTACTTCTTTCCTTTTTGTAATGAGGAGAAGTGGATATTTGTTTCATTAAAATCTATGAGAGAGTGACCAGCTGAAACATTTTAATCTTTGGGGTTTTGCTTGGTCACATTCTTGAAATGTTGGGAAAACCTTGATTGCAGTAAAGGATGGGTTTTGTCTGTCTGGATAGCCCTTTTCACACACACCCCTCTGCCTCCAGCAGAGGAGGAAAAGCAGGTGGTAGGTGCAGGTCAGTCAGCACTGGAGAGCTCTGGGCCCTGCATCTGCAGCAGGTATTGGCCACTGCATCCATGGATACCTGCTCTGGGCTCCCTGTCCTGCTGCCACAGCCAGGAGAGCCCTGCAGCATGGTGGGTGCTCTTCTCTTGGCCCCAAAACCAACCACCCTTGTGCTGATGTGGGGAGTCCCAAGCCCCCAGTCTCACAGGATTTCCCCCAAGGCATTGCTGTTGGCCCCATGGAGACAATTCACAAATTTTAAGGTGAAGCTGTCCTTTGGACAGATCAGAGTCCCAGCTGTGTCAAAGCAAGGTGATAAAACCACAGCTGCTCTTGAAACTGCCCTCAGAAGGTCCCAGCTTTGGGTGACACCAGAGCTCACCAGGACTGCACTGTAACCCACTGAGCCCGTGGTGCTCTCGCTGCTGGTATGTGACACAGGTGTCACAGCAGAGCTTCTCTCAGTCCTCTGCAGAGATCAGGAGCTGAAGGTTTGTCACATCCAGGTGTCAGGAGGGTGGCCTGTGCCTGGCCTCGTTGATCTGTCCTTGCACAAGAAGGAGGGCTATGGCTCTGAACATGGTGCACCATCAACTTTCCTGCCCTAGTGCCTCAATTTTTAGCTGGAAGAACCTTTCCAAAGCTGCACGTGATGGTGTCAGGCCAAAGAGTGAGCAAAGTGTATTCCAGGTGTGTTACAGACCAGGAGCCAGGACACTGTTTGGCACTACCAGTGTCTGCACTGATCCACACTGCGGATAAGGTGGAGAAGAGTCTCTCTTGTGGCAGGCCCTGGGCCCAGCCTGCATCACCTGCCTGGAGACATGGGTCATTCTGAGAGCAGAAGCAGTGATTCCCACAGCAGGACACAATTCAGGAAAACAGCATTGACATAAAAGGTGAAATAGGATTTTGATGAGTGATGGAAGTCCAAAAGAAAGGATGTTGCTGATTAGGCAGTGCAATGCTCAGGTGCTTCAGCTGATGCTTCTTAGACCTTCTCAAACCACCTGGGTAATGCGAGCTGGCCTCCTGGAATGCATCTTTGATGGTAGGTTTTTTTTTAAAGTAGAGGAAAGAAGGGAATTTTAGACTTCTGGCCAGGATGCCAGGGTTGCAAAGGTAACCTTTCTGTTGTGGTTGAGGCCAGATAAGACCTGCCTTGAGTTTGGAAGAGCAAAGATGTACAGCAAATCAAGCAGTTTTGGGGGGATGAGGGGGAGGAGAAGATATAAGGGTTCAGCCAAAGCTTTCCAAAACTGAGGGAAGTTCAGTCAGGTAGAGATGAAAGCTAGCAAGTTCCTGTGCTTATTGGACCTGCTGGTTGAGCTCCACTGCAACCCAAAGCCTGGCCCTGCCCTGTGCTAGGAAGAGCAGGATGCATTTGTAAGGCAGTTGTGAGAGTCTCCTCTCCCCCACCCTCCACCCTCTGTGTTAGCCAGGGGGATCCTGGGGCCTTGCTCTCTGTCTCCACCCCCGGGGACCTGGGGAAGCACTGCTGTGCTTTGGCTGTGGCCTGCCTCTCTTGGGGCTGCTTATTTCTTTTTGAAGAGCTTGCGGAAGGAGCTCCGGAACCCCCCCTTGGGCTCGTGCCGCGGGTTGTGGTCGCTGAAGGATGTTTGCTCATTGTCATCCTTCTGGCAGAACCTGGTGTTGTCTTCTGCATGGAGCTCCTAAAAGGGAAAAGACAATTTAACCAGCATTTGCAACCTCACATTCTTGTTCCCTTCTCTCTATTTCTCTCTTTCTGTGCTAGGAGGGACCTGGTGGGTGAGGAGGTGCTAATAAGGCTGGGAAGCAACACTGGTACCTCTGCAGAGAGCTTGTTGCTGGCTTTAGGGCTGAGGCAGGGACAGAGGAATAGAAGGATAAGCATTGTTAGAGGGAACTGGAGCTTTTCTTGCTAAGTTTTTTGTTTAGGGGAAGCTCATTAGCTTCTTTTGCCAGTGAGGGAGCAAGCCAGCTTGGGCAGTTGGAAGAACTTCCCACCCTCTCCTTTCTCCCCTAGAGCAGGGAGGCATCAGGCTTTGGAGCAGTGATGAAATGTGAAAAACTCTTCTACTGGCTCTGCTGCTGCATGGTTTCATATCTCTGGGGCAAAAGACTTCATTAGCACACACACCTTGTGGTAAATGTGCCACTAAAAGAGCTGTCCCTCTTTTGGGAGAGTGCCAAGCTCCTCTCAGCAAGACTCTGGACAAGACCCTTTTCTCCAATTCTGCCCACCACTGCCATGGTGATTTCCTTTGCACTGGGCGGAGAACATATCCTGCAGTTCTGGACGAGCTCCTCATCTGCACCCTGCTGTGGGCCTTAGTTCTGTGCAGGTGAGTGCCAAAGAGCTCATCAGCCCCTTTCCCTGGGGTGCCTGTCCCCCCATGGCTCTTCCCTCTGCCTCATCTCCCCTCTTCAACCTTCTACCACCTCCTTCACTCACTAGGCTTTGCTTTTTTTTTTTCTTTTCTTTTCTTTTGAAGTTTCCTTGCTACCTTTTCAGTCAGGCTGTTGGAACCTATCTCCCATCATCATCTGTATCTAAGCACCTCAGAGCACCCTTGGCCTCCTCTTCCTTGGCTGTGACAGCTCAAAGCTGACTCTGTTCAGTCACTGCAAGCTACAGAAACATTGCTCCTGCAGGACTTGGTGTCCCTGAAGGGTTACAGAGCTCTGACATGTCCCACCTGAGGGACACAGTTGTGGGCTCTGACTGTTCTCACACAGAGTTTGGCATAGGTCTGTACAATCCAGGCAACAAATACAGGTGAAACAAAACCTATGGACCAGATCCCTGCTGGTGTAAATGGGCTGAGCTTGGCCAAGCCATGCTGGTTTACACTGGCAGGACTTATCCAGCACTTACCCAGCACTCCTCACAGCAGGTGGAAAGGCACCTGTTTAACTGGGTGCCAACCACAGCACTAATTTTGAACAGCTTTGTGTAAACTTCGTGACCTGCTCAGAACATTCACCTGGGGGGGAAGCTCAGTGACAGTGGAGACACACAAGAGGCTCCCTTGTCTCAAAGGTGTTCTAGCTCGGCCAGCTGTGCACCTTAACCCATGCTTTTCCCTGGGGAAGATGTGTGTGAAAAGGAGCAGTTGAGGTCTTGGAATGTGTGGGCTTGAAAGCTGTTTTGGCATGTTCTACTCTAACTGTATCTCACATCTTTCTCCTGCTGCTGCTCCTGCTGCACCACCATGTGCCTCCTTTTTTTCCTCCTCCTATTTAAGCCTCCTTACTTCCAAAAAGCTCGGTTTTTCACCCGCTCCTCTCTGTGGGGGGAAGTAGCTCCTTTGGGAGCTTCGGGATGAGGCTGAGATCATGTGAGGCTGAACATTCCTGTCCTGCTTCTGCTGCAGACGGCTCCCACTGCTGCTCCGTGTGCTGTAGAGTCTGGTGCTCACGCCCTCCGCGCTGCGCGGCAGCTCCTTCAGGGACCTGCTCAGCTGCTTCCCTTTGCTGTGGAACATCTCACGCTTGTAGGTGCTGCTGCTCACGGGAGTGCAGCTCTTAGGCAGGGGCTGCAAGGCATGGTCTGTCCTCTCTGGTTCTGAGGTGAAGTTCACAGGCCTAAGGAAGCAAATATCCAAGCTGGACTCGGAAGAGGCCGGGGAGCAGTTCTCAAAGAGAGCAAGGTTTTGGAAGGTGTCGTCTTCGTAGGGGCCTGGCATGGTGAAAACCTCCCCAGGGTAGTCAAACTCTTCGTAGCTTGGTGCAAAGTTCCTGGCATCCTGCAGCAGCTCCACGGAGGTTCTGATGGCTCTCTCGGTGTTCCCCACCGCGTCAGCCGGCGGCGCTTCGTACTCCATTTCGGGGATGGATTGCAAGGGGGCTGTCAAGGCCTTGAGTTCCTGCTCTGTCAGCTGAGAAGAGGCAAGGATGTTCTCTGGCCTCTCGTGTTTTCTGCTTTCCATCTCCCAGTCAGGGGGCTTTACAGCCTGGATGTTCTCCATCACTGTCGGCTGCGGTTTCTTCATCTGCGGCATCAAATGCCTTAGAAATAAAAACCGAAGCAAAACAAAAAACAGACAGAAGTGGAATACTAAAGGATGACAGAGACAGCATGACAAATTCCCCCCACCCCTTCACTCCCCCAGCCCTGTTGTGTTGATTTGATGGCCAAAAGGTACTCTCCTGTCTTGGAGAACAGTAACAGAGGTGTTTCTTACAGAAATGGCCTGGCTGGTTAGGAGGATCAGACTTGGAGAGACAGAACTGCTTATCCAGTAGCTTTGTCTGACTTTTGTATTCTACAGCATGAAATGAATAGCAACTGAGATGAGAAGCCAACTGCTCCATCTCTCTCCTGCTCATCTGCATTTTAGATTCTAACTTTCCTTCTCTTTCTGTAATGAAGGAGCTGTGCCTCACTTTCCTGTGGTCTGGTTGTCTTTTCAGGTGGACTGGGTTTCTCTCTTGGGTAAGGTGACTCTGTCCCCAGAATGTGTCAGGAGTATACTTGGAGGGCTCCTACCCTCCATGTATTCCAGCTGAGTCTTCAGCTCAGGAGCAATGTGGGGGTGGTGCCAGCTGAGGCTGCCAAGGTGGAGGCTGGAGCAATCTGTCTGTGAGAGGAAGGAGATTGGCTTGGGCAGTCTGGGGAGAAGGAGGCTTAGGACTGATCTGTAACACTGCTAACAGAGGGGGACTGGGAATGATGCAGCCAAACTCCTGTTAGTATCAAATGAGATAAGAAAGCACAATAGCCACAAATTGCTGGCATAAGAATAAATGTAAGTCTAGAATGCTTCTCTGGTCATCATCTCATTTGGCACCTGTCAGGCTGGAAATTGCCAAAGGGGAACTGTATTAGGAGTGGCTGAGGGCACTTGGTCTGTTCAGCCTGGAGGAGACTGAGGAGAGACCTCACTGCAGCTTGCAGCTTCCTCATAAGGGACAGCAGAGGGGCAGGCACTCATCTCTTCTCTCTGGTGACCAGTGACAGGACCTGAAGGAATGGCTTGGAGTTATGTCAGGGGAGGTTTAGGTTGGATATTAGGAAAAGTTTTTTCACCCAGCGGGTAGTTGGGCACTGAACAGGCTCCCTAGGGCAGTGGTCACAGCACCAGCCTGACAGGGTTCAAGAGGTGTTTGCACAAAGCTCTAAGGCACACTGTGTGACTCTTGAGGATGGTTCTGTGCAGGGTGAGGAGTTGGACTCAATGATCCTTGTCCTTTCCAACTCAGAATATTTTGTGATTCTGTGAAGATTTCCAGGTGTTACCAATAGCCCTGTCTGTCTTGACTTAGTCTTGTATCTTTTTGAACCCATTTCGTACTTGTATCTTGTGATAGCAAATCACATCATTCAGTTATGTGCTGTGTGGAAGAGTATTATTTTCCCTGCTCTGAGACCCTGGTCCTGTTTCCCAGCTCTTGTAATGTTGACAGTGAATACTGCAGAGTGTTATTGTGCACACCACTGTCAGGCCTAAACAAATTCACATCCTCCCTGACATGCTGCCTTAGCAGGCAGCCCTGGCTAGAGCTCTGAAACATCCCCTGCTTGTAAACCACACAGTGGGGGATAGCAGGATGGAGCCAGCCCTTCATCTCTCTATCCATGGACAGGGAGTGGTTTTGGAAATTACAGCCTGTAGCTGCTTGGTGTCACTGGCATGCTGTGGGTGAGGAGAGAATTTTCAGCCTACTTTGAAAGCTGCCCACAAGGACAACAGGCTTACGGGGTGGTTGTGCCAGAGGAAGGTGCTGCTGGGAATGACTGGATGGCCTCTTCAGTGTGGATGCCACTGTCCCGCATTGATGCTGCACTGGGTGTTGGAGAAACCTCCTGGCTTGTGCACTGGGAGGTGAGACCTTTGTACAGCTTCACCAGGGATGACCTGAGGGAGGAGAAATCCATCGTCGGGCTAAGAAATAAGGCAGGGAATGAGCACGAGCGTGTAGAATCACAGAAAACAGGACTGGGAGGGACCTTAATATTCCTGTTCACCTCTGCCCACCCCAAGGAAAAGCCTGTTCCACCTAGTCTGCTCCAGCCAGCAGGGCATCCTGCTTTCTGTGCTGTTCTTAACACCTCTCCTGATTGCAGTCCCTCCCCAGCAATCTGCTCCAGCCCTTTACCACCCTCCATACTTGGAAGATTCCCTTGAAATTTGACCTTGTTCTACTCCTTGGGTAAATCATCACAAAGAGCAAAGGCAATCAGATTCTGATTTTAGTAAAAAGTCTTGATTTCAAGGAATTGTTCTGAACTGTAACTTGAGAATCTACATTCAGGGTAATTTCTGTCATAGTGCAACTCAAACAGGTTATGGGAGGCTTTTGTTTCTCCTACCTCCTCCCCCAGTAAAATAAAATAATGCCATTCTTTTGGAGTCTCAGTCCATAAGGGAAACAGTCCTCACCCTCACCAGGGCCTGGAGCTGCCAGAGCTAAATCCCCATGTGTTTTCCCACTGGGGAGTGACTTTGTCACTAACTTAAGGAATCAAATGATTCCATGAAACATGTGGCTGCTTTATTTAGAAGGACTTAGAAGTGATTTTTCTTTCACTCTCAGAATTAGGCAGAAGGGCCCACCCCAAGTCTGACCTCAGCTTGGAGGTCAAATACCAATAGTGGTTCTTCTCCAGCATTTGGATGCAAAGGGCTTTGTTTTATTTCAACAGAGCAATGTGCCTGTTGATCTAGCCTGGACTTAAACCCCCTGTTTGCCAGGCTTCCCCCACCCCTCCTTTCCCTGGTGGCAGAGACAATGAGTAGATGTTGTGCTTACTTCTTCAGCTTTTTCCTCTTCTGTATCAGCAGGTCTTCATTGCACTGGAAGAGGAGGCTGTAGTGTGAGATGAAGACGCGGAGGCGCTGCACGCACACCAGCAGCAGGTAATAGTCAGGGTGCTCTTGCTCCGTGAACTTCAGGACATTCTGAGGCACAGAGGAGAGCAGGCTGTTGGGAGGCTGTCCTGACCCTTTCTGGGGAGAAGGCACTACTGGAACCATGGATTAGGGCTCTGGAGTGCTCATGGCAGTGCCCTGAGGGAGCTTTGCTAGGCACCATGAGTTTCTGAGGGATTTGGATGGGGCCTGCCTCCCACTAGCCCAGTGCAATTGCACAAGGAACCACTGTAAATGTAATCACAGGATGGGTGGGTGATGCACTGGTTGAGTTTAGCTTAGAGTGAGTAAACCAATGTTTTGATTTTCTAGGGGTTGCTTTCTGTGTATTCGCCTTATCTGAAATGTTTCAGTACAATTCAGATAAGCCTTCTGTGAACCAGAACTCTTTTTATCAGCCATCTCTCTGTAGGACAGGTGTTGGGCCCTAGGAGGCCTCTCAGATGTGTCCCATCTCTGGCCTCCTGTTTTCCCAGAGCAGCAGACAACAGAGCCTTTGGCTTCCCAGGGGACAAAAGCTGCTCCTGTCAGGCCAGTTGGAGAAACTGGCAAATATAAGCAAGCTTCATGTGAAAAAGATTAAACTTAACCTATTGTTAGCTGGCTTTCCCTTCAGAAGTTTGTTGGTTTTTTTTTTTCTTCAAAGAACCTGCTGAGTTTGTCAGGTCCCTGTACCTGTACAGGCCCAAATACCAGCTCTGAGTTAAAAGTCACCTGATGTGATTAGAGTTCAACAACAGAATTTCCATCCTGGGGCCCTACCTGTAAATGAATAAGGTATTCAGGGATTCGCTGGACTATATGAAAGAACAGAATGTAGAGATCAGACTTGATTTCTTCTTCTACCTGAAATAGAGAAAGTGACTTAAGAGTCTTTCCCACCCATAAAACACATCTCCTTCCAGATGGTTCTGTGGTTTAATGAGTAGTTGTGCTGTAAGGAGTTGCAACAGTTCACAGGGGCACACCAGGCATTTAGGCTGGGGATTATCTACTAAGGACACTCAGCCTAATAAAGTAGGGAGGCACACTGAAACTGCACTAGTTAAGTTTCAGTGAAACTCCAAGAAAAGTGTTGCTCAGAATGAAGTTCTTAGTTTAGGCTCAAATTAATTGAACAAAATGAGATTGACTTCTAAATTAAAATATCTTGGAAGCAAGCAAATGGGGTTAGGTTACTGCACTTTAAACTACCTTTATATTTAACTTTCTAAGTTTAAACCAAGAATCCAGACCCATATAGATGAAGCTGAAAGTGAAGACTCTTTTCTCTCTAAAGGACTCAATCCCTCTGTTTGGGTGAGTCCTCCATTTTCCAGGAGACAGTTCCTGGAAAAGATCTGGATAGCATGTGCATAGGCAAGCTTTTGGGAGGTTTAATCTGAGACATTGTTTCCTGGCACAGCAGAAAAGCTGCTTTGGTTTCAGACAGTGAGGAAGGTGTCAAAGCTGCCTTTTGTAGGTGCCAGTCAGCCACAGCAACCTCCAGGAAACAGGACAAGTGGATTGGCAGGAGAGATCCAGGCTTGCATGTTGCCATTACATGCTGGGAAGCAGGCAGGATGTTTACCTCCTTCAGGATCACCACGTGGATCAGAGAGATGCATTCTGGCAGGTCCCTCAGGTAAGCAACGTAGTAGTCCAGAAAATTATTCTTACAAAAGAGAAAGAGAAAAGAACACACAAATTTAACAGAGGCTTTTGGTCACAGAGCCAGCCAAACTGTTAATACCCCACCATCACTGCTGGAAGGTCACCAGTGCAGCAGAGCTGCTGTTTCACTCCTTCAGGGCTTGGAACTTCTCAGGAAAGTCTGTTTTATAAAATGTGTTCAGCTGTTGAGCACAGTGTGTAAAGCTTTACTGCAGATGGGGAGGGTAGAGAGGCCAGGCAGTAAGAAGCTCTTCTAATCTAAGATTGTTAAAATTTATAAAGTATCAGATGAGTTTTTACACATCCCTGCTGCTCACCAGGGCAACAGAAGTGAGTACAACAAACCATGTGGGCCTCTGCCTGCCCTCCTGCTTGTCAGAACTCTGAGCAAGGTGTATTGGGGCAGGGGAGCATCAGAACCCCCCTCTTTTCACACCCTCACTGGAAATACAGCCATTCAAGCTCTCAAGGCTCATGTGTGGCTCCTGCAAGCAGGTCTGGGTCTCATGTAGTTTATGGAGCTGTGCTATGGGGCTGCTTGCCCACAGGTGGGTCTGGCATGTGGGATCCCTGAACACCAGAGGGGCTGCCATGCCCCAGGACTGTGCTCCAAGGGGGTTTCTGAAAGGCCTTTCCCTTCAGGCCACAGCTGCACAGCACAGCCCCTCTGTTCAAGGTGTCTTGGTCCACCTGCACCTCAATAAAATGTCATAAAACATGACAGAAGATTCTGGAGAGGTCTTTACCATACCTCATCATTTGTCAGCTTCAGGAAGATGTCTCCTAGGATCCCTTGTCGTGGCCAGCTCAGGACTCTCTCCTGGAGAGCGTGCAGTAAATCCACGTGCTGCTGCACCAGGAACCGCAAAGAGTTGGGGAAAAAGCTGATGGGACACCAAACCAGACTGGTTACACAGAGCAAAACCTTATCCCTAATAAGTGAAATCTGCTGAAGTGGGCATTCCTGAGTGGCCAGCACAGCCTTGCACGTGTAATATTGACTGCACTATTATTGCTGCAATAGCACAGGTGTTACTGACTCCTGTGGCAGGAGCCCTGGCTGCATTGGGGGGTCTTGTTTTGGCTGCTGTGTACATGCAAGTATCCTCTCCAGCTGGCCATTAATGAAGTGTTTTTAAAGCTCCTTAGGCTTTCCTTGCAATGCCTTGAGTAGCTCACCAGAATTGGCAGCTCTAAAAAGCCCCAGGCAATGCTGCAGTGGCTGATGATGCAGGGCCATGGCCCTGAGCCACTGAGAGCTTGGAGGAGAGCTCCCCAACTTTCTGTCTTGTCTCATTTGTCAGGCCCTTTCACAAGACAACCCACTGGTGCAGAGCTGGTCAAAATGTGCTACTGCCTTTCTGCCACTTCACATTGATTTCACCCAGAATCAGAAAGAAGATGGTGGACAAGATGCAAGGGACAGGTAGGAATGTCTTTAATGACTGCAAAAACCTCCCAGTGCCTCCAGTTTTCAACTAGAAATAAACTAAGTGTTCAAAGATCTCTGTGTGGATGTAAGAAAAGTTTGTGAGGTGATAATGCAGAAGTAATATTGACTGAAGAAAACTCCCCAAAAGACAGAGAGCACATTACATCAAATACCTTCTCTCTTTGGTGCTTCTTTTCACATCTGGCCCTTGCAGTGTGGCCTTGATCTTCAGGATGAGGGAAAGGTTGATGACATACTTTCTTTCTGACTCCAGCAGCTCCAAGGCGATGTTCTGCCTTTTGGCTTCCAGAAGACAAGGGTTAAGTTTTAAAATAAGAAAGTACTGACCTCAAGGACAGCTGCATGTTAGACTGGTGAGGGGATCATGAAAGGAGAAACTTGTTTAAAAATTACATCAATGCCTCATCTTTTTCTGTGTTCTTTACCCAGAATGTAAAACTCCACCCTGATGCTACAGCATGCCCCAGCCATGACCAGTGCCTCAGTTTGCTAAGAAAGCTCCAAAGCAGATGTATTTCCCCCTATGAATACAAAATTTTCTAAGAATAACAAAACAAGCAATCAAAGGCAAAACAACTCATATCAGGGTTTCCCATCCTGAAGAAACCCTGCAGAATGAGTAGTTGTATTTTTCACCCACTTAAGCACCTACTCTGCTGCAATCCCATTAGTACTCTGAATCTGGCAGGTCTTGGAAAGGAGAAGGGCTGTCCTGGGTACAGAGTGGTTCTGTCAGTCACACAGCCCAACAAATACTCCAGAGGTCTTGGAGTGTGAGGCCCTGAGAGATTCCCCCAGCAGCAGAAACTGGCCTGTGTGTCTCCTCCATGGATGCTGATCACCAGCCAGCTCACACCAGCTTTGAGCCTCTCTAGCCAGAGTTTTCTACTCCTTACCAGCCAAAGAGGGTTCACATATTATGTTGTCTGCTGAGCTGTATCTGCTCTGGCCCATGTCCTTCCCTCTCTCTGGTTGCTCTTTGGAAATGTATTCATCTCCCCAGTCCTTGGTGTCCTTGGGCTGCTTCCACACTGTTGATGGCAGATGCATTTTTGACTGTCCCTCTGTTGCCAGGGAAGGCTTGAGGCTGTCATCTGTCTCTATGGCTGCTCCTGCAATGACAGACAGCTCCATGGACTCTGACATCTCAGCATCTCTCTGACAGGTTATGCTGCAGCAAGCAGCTGTGTTCCCATCCATTTGAAGCACTGGAAGGTGAATTTGGAGCATTCTTTGTGCTTCACAAGGGCTGTAGCCTTGTGGAGTTAATTTACAAAGGAAGTGAAGTTGGTGAGCTCTTCAGCAGAACAAGGTTTGCACTCTTCCAGCATTTATTTTCAAGCCAAATAAGATCCAAAATTAGACATATGTTGGAGAAGCAGAAACACCTTCTCTTCCCAAGTGGGAAAAGTGGTGTTCTCACTATTCTTTGTCACATCAGGAAGCTTCAATTCTTCCTTTCTGAAAAGCATGTAGAATCTAAGAAAGCAACAGCAGAAAAGCTTTCTCTGCCAAATCCTTGGCACTGACCACCAGAGACACTTCAGGGACACAGGTTTGCCCTCATATCTCAGCTGCAAGTAGGAAAATGGAGGTACAGGGCAGAGTGAAAGACATCCCTGTGAAATGCCTTCCCTGAAAGCATTTTTTCAGAGCAGTAAAGCCAGCACTCTAATAGAATCATTGTCTTGCTGTCTTTTGATGCTTGATATTTTATTACCTGGGCCTGCTATGACCTTCACACCTCCTTCTCCCATGGGCATGATCCTGGTGTCAGACACTGTTGAGGAACAAAGGGAACTTTAGCAACAGAAGGCAACTGTAGAGTTTGCTTCTTCCTGCCAAGCCCTGTCAATAGGGTAAAATCCTTCAGTCTTTCACAGTTTTGCTATGAAAACATCCCTGTTGGACTCTCCTGTCAGGAGGATCTTTTCTGCTGGGCTCTTGTCACAAGTCTGTGTTTCAGTAGCCTCTGCAGACAGATAATGTGGGGTCCCTGCTGTGCTCAGTGCTGTGTGACTGCAGAGGAATGTGAGCAGTCTTGGCTTCTCCTGGCATGCAGGTGCAGGTTGGTAGAGGATACTCCACACAGAACAAAGAGGATGGAGACCTGACAAAGAGACAGGACTGATGTTTTGAGTGGAAAGGAGCTAATTGAAGAGCAGAGGGATGAGACTGGAAAGAAAGGAGCAGTGGAGAAGTGAGTGAGAAAGGTGGTTGTGCAAGAGGGATGTGAGGGAGATGGCTGACATGCCACCTCAGAGCATGGGGCAGAGAAGGGCCACAACTGACAGGTTCTGAGTGAAACAGAGTAGAAAACAGCACATGATTTTCATCTAATCTCTGCCTTTGTTGACATTTTTAATGAATATGTTTTTATTGTCTTCCTATCTGAACAGCAAGAGAGTGATAGACCAGCTTAGACCCCCAGACTTAATTATAGAATAAAAGGTTCTGATCCATCTCCTTTTCTTTGATTCCAACTTCCAAGTGTTTAGCAGTTGACAGTGTTTTCTTCATCAAGGTGGGATCCTCCTTCCTGTGCCCTGTTCCCTCACACAGAACCAAAACCAGAATTTTTATCAAGAGCCCCCATTTGGTTCTGTATCTGTGCCACTGGCACTACAGAATGAAGATCCAGCCTGTATCCCTCTCCTTGGAGGAAGCAAGAAATGGATGTTGAGACAGTTTTTGCAAAGCAAATACTTCCTGAACCCAGGTTACCCCAGTGATCTTTTTTTGATTTTTTTCCTGAGGAAGGCACTGCATTTGCCTATTCTGTTTCCTACCTTTTTCATAAGTCACATTGTGTAAAAGACTTGTAAAATCTTCATTGATCAGCACAGGTTCTGGGAGGTTGATGGATCGGAACGGGCTGCCCTGGAGAGGTGTTGGCACTGTCTGTGACCCGTGGTCATCCTTCTGTGCTCTCCTGTACAAACACAAAGAATGAGGTGCTTGGAAAGGCTGAATGCTACAGGTGAAGCTCCTACACTACATTTGTGGCCAATACTGTCAGAAATAGGACAACTCTAGCAGAGACCAGGAAAGGAGCTGGCTTTGATGGAATTGGCAGTTCATGAACAATGTTCTGGAAATAACTTCCACTGGCTACAGGAGAAGGTTATTTCAGATCTATTATTTTGCAGAGCATATTTCATCTAATTAAATAGCTTAATTAGCTAAGGGGCTAGCCTAGATTTGCAAAGTGTTTGCATCAAGGCAGCTGTATAGACTCATGATCAAAACTCTGTTTTCAGAAGAAGGCTAATTAGGACCAAGCTGGACAAGTGTCTGCTTCATCCCAGCATCAGTGTGAGAACATTCCCTGACTCTGCTCAGAGGAGAAAAGGCTGGTGACAGGAAAGCAGAGCAGGCCTGCACCATCAGGAGCCCATTGAGTCCTGCAAGCCTGGAAGGGGAAATTTCAGTGCTGTTGTCTGAATGGTGGAGGCTTCTGACTTTCAGCAGCCCCAGCACGTCTTTAGTGGGTCTTTGTTCTGCCAGGCCCTGGTTCTCCAGGGAGCTGCTGGGGGCTGTTTTTCTGTTGGAATCACAGTGAGGTGAGCATTTTCCTTCTGTCTTTGCTCTGTGGGGTGTGTGTCTTGGAGTCTGGGGTGAACTGAAGCATTTCTAGTCATAAACAGTGTTGATACACACTTCCAGCCAGGAAAAAAATTAGGAAATTATGCTCTACAGAAAGGAACAAAATGGATACCACTGCTAATTAGCATTTTCAGGACCCTGGAGTTTGGGCCCTTACTTAGCTTTCATTTTCCGTGATTCCCGCCGCTTCTCTTGCTGCAGCTGCTCAATTTTCTGTTGCATTTCCTCTTGCTTGGCACTGATTTCTTCAATCATTGACTTTGCATCGCTGAGCTCCTCCTGAGAAACAGGCAAAAGCACAGCATTCCCATCAGCCCTACGTGGCACAGCTCTGAGTGCTGGCTGGTGTGCACAGAAGGTGCTGCAGGGTGCTCTGGGGAGTGGCTCTGTGATTAGACACTCCTCCTTTGCAAGGCCAGCATGTGTGACACCTGCTGTGCACAACGTGATGATCCTTGATCCTTAATCCTACAGGCCACTCACCCAAGCCAGCATGGAGCCCCATGACCAAGGCACTGGTGGGAGATGAGACTCAGGGCTTCATCCACCACCAGCTGAAAGCACTGGGAGGACTCCTGCCCTTAATGGCATTTGGAGGTGGGCCTTAGGGAGCACATTTCCCTCTGCAGTTTTCCAGCATGTGTATTCACATGCTGCACCTGGTTCAGATCCCAGTGTGAGCACTCACATGTATAAGCTTTTGCCAATCAGGTCATGGATCTGCCCTTTTAGCCTGGTTTCCTAAGGAAATGAGGCCCTCCATATCTTCCCTGTCCATCCTCCCTCAAGCAGTTTCAGCCAAGCCCTTACTCAGATGTAGAGCTCTGATGCATAAAGTTCCTGCAGGTTCCATGAACATGAGCAGCAGGATTGAGGAGAAATACTCAAGAGTTTCATGTAAACCAAAGGACTTCCCCCAGGCAAGGAGGTGACTTTAGTGGGAGCTCAGTGTTTGAATAGCCAACATGGGCATGAGGCAGAGGGAGAGCAGCCTTTGCCCCTTCTGTTGCTTGCATAATTCTTTGTGTCTGCATTTTAAATCCCCTTTTCCCCTATGACAATGTCCTGGGTAACCCTGTGTCTGGTTGCTCTGAGACCTCTCCCATGTGCCCTTGCCCTTTTGTTGTCTTCCTTGCTCATCTGGCACCAAGGGCTCCTCTTGCCTGGTGCCATCTGTCTCCTTGTCACAGGGTTAGTAATGGGCTTTGTCAGTAAGCAGCCCTCTTTAGCTTCACAAGGTTTTATTGACTCAGCAAACCCCCTGGGGAAAATTTGCAATAAAAACTATAAAAAAGTTCCTCTGCCTGTCTCATCATCCACTTTCTGCATGGAGATACTGGCTGGTCTAAAGTGTACATCAAGCCTTCTTGCTAGGCTGTCTCTCCAGCCCTTTGTCTTTATCCTCTTGGGCCAGATCAAACCAGGCTGCACTTCCTCCCAGCCATGTGGAAATGCGACTTCAAAAGGCTTTAGGGTTTTGTATTAATTTGCTGCTCCCCAGTGGCTTTGGTTCCTGCAGGAAATGCAGGAGACCCGACCCAGGGAGAGGTGTGGGACAGTGGCCCAGCAATAGCCTGTGAGCAGGCCATAAATCCATGGCATGTGCAGCCTTTGTGCCCAGGCTGCTTTGTGCCCAGGCAAATCTCAGCACTGCCTCATGGCCAGTCAAGAAGGCTAAATGGGCCAGAGTGTGGGATACTTGTGAGTTGGAGCAGTGAGGGGACACCCAAAGCCAAAGGAAGTACCCCAGGTGTATCCAAAACAATTGCTCACTCATTTCCTTTGCAAACAGGGAGCATTGATAGAGGCAGGGGAATGCTTCCCTCTGCCAGGCAAGCTCACATGGAAAGCATGCAGCCCCCCACAGGTCACACTCCTACCTTGAACGTGTTGAGGGAATTCTTCATCTCGGCCACCTTCTCTTCCATGGCACAGCGGCAGCTCTTGACCTTCTCCTCCAGGGCATACTCTCCATGCTGGATGCGTGACAGCTCCTGCATTGCTTCTGTGAAACCAGCCTTCAGCTCAGAGGCCAATGCCTGCAACTACAGCAACCACAAACAGGGGGGTTCAGTCCCTCCTCCCAGGATCAGGTGTTTGTGTCCCCGAGGGTCACAAAGGCTGGGTGTAACCCATCCTGTAAGGTGCTGTCCTCTTTCTCCTCCTCCTTTCATGGCTGGGAAACATGGGGAGAGGTTTGGCCCCTGCTGCAGTCTTGGTACAGAGTAGGAGGTGTTTGTCTTGGGCAATCAATGTGCCCTTTTCCAGACTTTTTTAAAAAACTTTTTGGAGTTTTTCCAGGCTCCCTGGCAGTTTGCAGCCTGTCAGCCTGTAGTAGGAGAGGACAGTCTGAAACATGCCAAGAAGGTTTGCAATACAGCAGCCAGATTATTAATCTCCAAAGCAGCTGAGCAATCAAGAACGTGTCCGGTTTTGAGCAAGTCCTCCTCCCACACGTGGAGCTGGAATTCTCCCCACACAGGTCTAACCCCTCGCTCTCCAAGGGCTGTGGAGAAGCTCTGTCCTTTGCCATGGGCCCTTTCCATGGAAGGAGGCAGCTCTAACTTGTGCTGGGGAGGGAACAGGAGGTTTTCCCCTGGCATACAGTGACACTGTGCCCACTCTCTCTGTTTTCTGTCCCTAGATGCCCTGTGCTCACCACCTAAGTTGGAGGCAGGCAGTGATAGCTGGGTGAAGCAGGAGATGGACTGGGGCAAGCCAGGCTGGCAGAGCAAGCAGACAAGGCGGGTGTGGAGGTGGGCAGTGAGGGGGATCAGCGGCTGGCACAGAGCTAAGCAGGGAATTCCCTCTCGGGAGCAGCTGGGGCTGGTGAGCCTGACTCTGCCCCAGTGCTGTGAGCGAGGCTCGTGCTGCCTGCACAAAGCCCTCAGCGAGGTCGCGGCCCAAGGCGCTTCGGCACAGAGGTTTTTACCTTTACAACAGAAATGCGGCCTAACATCTGGTTATAAACTGAGTCCAAAACGGGAGCACTGCTGGTAAGCGGAGAGCCACCCCGGGAACTCAGGCGCTTGAGTCCTGCAAATGGAGCAGAGATGGCTTCCGATACCTCGGGGCACTGGCACGCACCAGCCTCCTCTGGTCAAGGCTGGCAGTGTCTTTCCAGAGGATGTCTGCCTGCCATCCCCAGCACTCACCCCACAGCCCCCACTCTGAGCTGCCTGGACACACATTTCCAGAGTGCCTGGGTAGGAGGAGCGGGACTGACAGGAACCACAGGCGCTGGGACCATGCAGAGGGGAGCAGGAGGCTGAGGACATCTTCCTTCATCAGGATGAAACCCCGAGTCCCCAGGCCAGCTGGAGCTCCAGACTCCTTGGCTGAACACTTTCCCCCTCCCCTCCTGGCCACAGTGTCACCCTGTGACCTGTGCATGTAGTCTGAAGGGTCAGAGGGGCTGCTTAGGGCAGACAATGACCACACTGCTTCTGATATCTCAGCCCAGATGGTCATGGCATCATCAGACATCCTAACATATGTGCCTGGAGAAGGGGGAGGAAGGGAGGGTTATAAAGTACTGTGACTGTGCAAAATGTTAATATTCCCATCCCTGCTCGCAGGTGCTTAAGGACACACTTTCCCCCTGAGCTGACCTGGCCAAGGCACAGTCTGTCTGCCAGCCTGCATCAGGGCTGGGCATCGCACACTGCCCTCCAAGTGACAAGGGTTCATTTGCAAGATCTGTCCCTTCCAACTGGAATATGCTATTCCATTCTAATCTATGCTATCCATTTTAGAGATCTGCTTCAGGATGGAGGTATTTCAGCCCCAAGTCTTGCTAGCAGTGGAGCAGTCCTGGAGCTGGCCCTGGACATAACATGGTCTGGGGAGAATAAGCTGAGAATGAAATGTTTCTGCCCACAAGCCTGGCCATCTCCTTCTCAGATGCTTCCAGAAAGGGGGTAAACTACACAGATCCTTTGAAGGGTATAGGGGTGGGAATCATTGCTGATCTTGAGGTTTCAGAGTAAGAAAAGCTGCAAAGCATCAGCAAAAGTGGACCACTGCAGAGAATTTGTTGTCCATGTGCACTGAAACACTCTATGAAAGCAGAGTTCAGCCAACAGAGTTCAACAAAAGGAAAGACTTGGATTAGAGCCTGGACAAAATATCCTCTGCATCTAAGAGCAGACAGTGACCTGTTATTTTGGTATTTGCTTTTGGCCAATCTCTGCTTTTGTGGTGACAGTGCTAGCTTAGTTTCTTTGTGTGTCCATCTCAGTGCTCCAGAGCCCAGACTGAGTCTGTCCTGCCCCCATATATCCTTCCTCAGCCCCATGCAGCTTGCAGTGGCTGTTTCAGACACTGAAATGCATCCTTGTGTTGCTGCTTGAGGGATGAATGCAGCCAAAAACACCAACCAGCCACAGAGCTTGTCTGATAGAACAAGAAGTGCTGAAACCCTGAGCAGGTCAGGGTTAGCATAGAGGGAAATACATTCTTGTTACATTGGATGCAGAGTTGATCCAAAATCAAGTGAAGTGATACAGGAACAGCACATTGTCTTTAAACTCTTGCCAAGCATGGTGTAGCTATGGATTTTAGTTAGAGCTCATTTCTAAAAGCAAGCCGTAGAAAACCATCCTTTAATCCCATAAGCTGTTAAAACAGATGGAAGCCACTGAGGCTATCAGGCCCTGCCCATGTCTTGGCCAAGTGACAGGGCTCTGTCTCCACAGGGATGGCCTATGCCTACAGGACCAGAGAGGTACTTCACAGGTTTGTGACCCTCTGGAAAGTCAAGCCAAGTCTGTGTTTCCAAAGTTTCTAAGTGCAACACATACCAAAAAAGACAGATTGTGTAATACAGCAACAGTTAAACCATAATGTGTTGCCCTGGCTCACTAATTCATGGGACTAAAGATGTAATTTAACATTTAAGTTGTGGAATTTAGGAAACAATAACTTAAATTGAACTAATGCCTAGAGGATAAATTAATCTGCACAGTCACAGGGAGTCCTTCAAACCTGTCCAACAGCTGTTCAAAAAAAGCATTTAGGCATGTAAATAATTTAGTACCAGGTACAGACTTCATCTGCCTTTGGACTGTGGCCCTCAAATCTGACAAAGCAGAGCAGTGAGGCATCCAGTGCCTTGTGTTTGTAGGTATGTCTTTCTTGGGACCCATGACTCCTATTTCACCTGCTGCCCTGATGATTTTCAGCTCTGTGTGGAAAAACCATGCTGTTCACAAAGGGTGCACAGGACTGATGCTGCTTCCTGGAGCCGAGGCAGCAAAACTGCAGAGTCTCCCCTCTCTCTCTTGGTGGGTGCCAGCAATTTGAGACATTTGTAAAATATAACAACAGTCCTTGCAGCCTAAAGATTTGTTCAGGCTTTGAGGCAGCCCAGGGAGGATGGTTCTGCACAGCAGATGGGGATGGTTTATGGAAGGAGGGAGTGGGATGGAAAGAGGGCAGCAGAGCCTTGGTGAGCTGGGCCACTGTCCTGGCTGCCACTGAAAGGGTGAGAGGGAGCCCTGCCTTCTCTGAGTAGCTGTGTCCCCACAGGTTCCCTCAGCACTGGCCAGGCTGTCCAGGGCCCTGTCTCCACAGGGATGGCCATTTGCACCTGCACCCGTGGCAGCTGCCTCAGTCCTACACTAGAACAGGACCTGCTGTCTGGGACCTTGAGCTGGAGCCTGTCAAAGGCAGGAGAAAACAGGCTCATGATATAGAAATACTGCACAGAACAATTCTGCTATTATAAATATATCCTTGAAAAGAGCAGAACCTTCTGTGGCCATGAAGGAGTACTGTCTGTGGTGCTTCCCCAGCTTATCCACTGTCCATCACTGCACATCTTTTGGGGCTGCTCTGAAGAAGTAAACAGACGTATTTCAAAAGAGGGCTGCCTGAGGACACTGCTTGAAACCAATCTGGCACAAAATCCAGTGTTTGACACAAGCCCTGGATCTGATTTTTCACAGTTGCATGATGCATGCTTTTACCAGGAAACAACTAATTTTTAGAACAGCTACTAACTCCTGTGCTTAAGGGCAGCACTCCTACAGCCAAGCATTAGGAAGGCTTGCAGTGCCTCACAGCAGGGGAGCAGCAGTGGTTTACAGTGGTAAAGAAGCTGGTCCTAGGAGTATATCCAGCATACATATTCCTAGGCAAGGATGGTAGGCATACAGTCAGAGCAGCAAAGTACAGAAGAGAAGGATGACTTAAAGATGAGTTGCAAGTACTCATCAGTCCTTGCTCCACATCTGTGCAGTCCCTTTTGGTAACTGCATCATCCACAGGGCCTTTGCTGAAGCAGAAGGGAGGAGCCAGCTGGTGACTGACATGTAAGGACTCGGGAGGGTACCCACACGTCAGCTGGAAAACAACATGTGTGCTTGGTGTTTCCAGCACACAGTCCATGTGCATGTTGGATGCACTGTGCTGGACCCCTGGAGCTCTCTGGATGGAAAAAGAGGATGAGATGACAGAAGTGCTGGGTAGCTCATGGAAAGCAGTGCCTTCCCCACTTGCCATGGTGCACTTGCAAGCAATTATGGACATTAGTGTTGCAATGGTGGCAAGGGAGATCTCAAATAGTCTGCATTTCCACTTCAGGGGTATGTTTCCTCTCTCAGATTATGGTTCCATATTGAACCAGACCAGGGATTAAACTGCTTAAAACTCTGTCACATTTCCTGCAGACTGGAAATGAGTAGGAAACATCATGTGGAAAGGCTGAAACTGCATCTTGCAGGACGGATATTCCTTGGGCTGTGGTCATAGACAACCTGTGGTATCCAATTGCAGCAAAAATGTTAGCCCAAAGACAAGGCACAGAGCTCAGGAGGAACTGATCACCAGGGTTTCTAGCTGGGAGGCCAGACAAAGACATGCAGAAAGACTCAACACTCTGGCTGCTCTGGATTATCAGGCAAGAGCACTCCATGGTCTGAGGAGCTGGGAGGCTGCCAGGATAACCCAAAGCCCCACAGAAGACCTGGGCCCCAGCTGCATAAGACACCCCTGCCCCATGTCAGTCAACAGATCATTGCTCCTGGGACAGTTCAGCAGGTTTGCTGAAAGCTCATCAAAGCTCAGTCATTAAATCTCCCCCAGCCCAGTGAATTGACATTCTCTAGTTGGTGCTAATGATGTCAGTTGCTTAATTAGCTGAGCTCACAAATCACCTGTCTAAATACAACTGGTTGTGAGCAGAGAAATTTTACTGAAAGGTCTTTTAAGATGAGGCCCAAGATGTGTGATATTTATTCATGCAGTGTGCACGTTTTGGTTGCCATGTTTCTTGTAAATGCCTACATTTTTCCTTCAACTTAATTTAGCTTTTAACTACTGTTTATATATTAGTAACTCTTTAAACTCTTGGAGTTATTTAGGGCATTTTGCTCATCTTTACCTGGGAAATCTGTGTTGCAGGGGTACTCACAGGCACACTTTCAGTCCCTCCTGTGGGAATAAAGAACTTCAGTCAATTAAAATGACTTATAATGGCTGCTATTAATAACTGGAACAGAGGGTTTGAAGTCCCTCTTGAGGAACAAATCAGTTTTAAAGGATTCAAGTCTCACTTTAGGAGGTCTGAACACCATATCTTTTGTAAAATAAACTGCAATTATAAAATGGGAATGACTCACCTAAATTCAGATGTTAAATTCACCTTATTTGCTGTCCTTTGTCTGGCCAGAGTTGATCCATGCAAGGAAGTGAGAAAGCTTGTATGTGCAATTAGGACTAAATTGCTCCCTGTGAAGTGTAGTTCTGTGTACCAGCCTTAGATAACACTATTTTTTGGGTTTTTTTTTTTTTGACCTAAAGCATTACTGATCTGTGTCTCTACTGAAAGAGTCAATTTTGTCCTCTACTATATCTGTACATATTTCAATTACCTCTGCAAAAGGCAAAATACCTTATCTGTATATTTTAAATTTTATTTTGTCACAATGCAATCCAAGCAGTAATGATGTCTTTTCTAACCTCCCAAAAGTACACCTTTTCATTGGTTTTGTCATTCCTGGGGGTTTGTGGTATGGTGATCCCAGCTGATCTTGTACAACTTAACATTGCTGAAACAGACTTAGCTGATGGAGGAGATTATATCTATTTTGCAGAAGTATTTGGACACTGCAGAGACATTATCTCTAGGCATTAATCCTAGAATCATGGAATCATTTGAGTTGGAAGGGACCTTTTAGAGGTCATGTAGTCCAACTGTCTTGTGCAGAGACCTTCAGTTGTCCAACAGAAATCACCTCTGGCTGTGCTGCCGTTGCCCTTTGAGGCAATTGCAGTCCAATGGCCTTGGTGTTATTCCCTCCATCAGGCTGGATCTCACTCCCAGAAAACACCATGCTACTCTGTTCCTCATCTGGATTGCCTCCCCTTGGGAATGCCACTTCACCAGATGGGTTTTCCCTTGCCTCCAAGGATTTGCCTCTGCTGTTAAGTCACAGACATGACCAATAACCCCATGCCCAACTCCAGGAGAAGCCAAGCTCCTCTTTTCCATGCTGGCTACAGATGCTTGGTGCTTTTCCAACCTGGGCCTTTAAGATAACAGAAATGCAGTCCTGCAGAGGCTGGAAAAGCATGCAGGGAGGACTCTGCACAGTCAGCCAGTGGAAAGTTGAAGCCTGGAAGTCAGAGCTATACAAGGCATAGCTCCATTCTGATTTTCTTTACCCCTGAGGGGGAATGTGGGTTACCAGCAAGGACACCTATGAAATGGCCCTGTTCTGGTCTCCAGGATTTGTCCTGATTCAGAGGAACTTGAGCAAATTCCCCCATGAATTGCAGAAGGGAGAGGCAGAGAGGCTGTGTGCTCCTCTCTGCCCATGTGCCACTTCCTGCCTGTGCTGGTGGCTCTCTCAGCTGTGGGGCTGAGTAGCTGGGTCAGACACTGAGCCTCTGGGGGATATCCTCTCATGCTCCCTCCTAGGAAACAAGAAGCAGCAGGCTGACTGGGAGAAGTGACTATGACTGCACGCTGCCAGCTGTTTGGGGTCAGAACTCATCAGCCAGCCTGCACCAAGTCCCATGTTTCAATTTTTAAATTACAGGTTGTTTTCATCTTCAGCTTTGGCCTTTCTGGTTCTTTTTTCCAGATTTTCTCTGCAACCACATGAATTAGGAACTGACCTTTGGCCAGAAGTTTCTCCTGATGCCTGGAGCTGGGGCTGTGTGTACAGTGACTCTCCTGAATCATGGAAACTGAGGCCCATGCCAGGTCTGTTGGGCTCCTGCTGTGGGACAGTAAGGACTGACTCAAAGAGAGCAAGAGGACACGTTTCTGAATTAATAGTACAACACAAACCAGGTGCTGGCAGGACAAGGAGATGCTGTTTTTACAACATGGATGGGTGTATTGAGTGCAGAGCTCTGTGAAGGACTGGAGGTGTCAGGTAGAAGCATAGCACAGCAAAGAAGAGCCTCCTCAAATTTTCTTTGGGTGTCTTTCAATCTGATACAGAGGGCCTGAGTCATGTCCTGCAGAGATCTGTAGGGATCTTTCATGTAGATTTGATTGTGCATCAGTCTGTAATGTCCTTGGATTTACTAAAAGTGAGGAACTGCTCCTGAGTGAGACCAGAATTGGGGAGAGGATCACTGCTACTGTGACTTTACTTCCACCTTTGCCATGAGCACTCTCTGAATGTAGCCAGTCAAAACCCAGATCATTTCTATAAAGTCACTGTAAAGAGCTGAAGCAGAGGAAACTCTTCACAGTCTCACTGTGGGAAACAAGGGACTTTGTGCATCTCCCAGTTTCTGCACTGAACATCCGCAGCCCATGAGGGCACAACAATTAATTGGAAAAAATCCCTGAGATAATTTCCTTTTCAGCCTGCTGTAGTGTAAGGGCCTAGGTACATAGACCTAATTTCATCAAATTAGAATAATCATCATAATAATAGAGAAATTAACTTTTCTGATAACTATGCCATGAATAGTGGCACCACCAAGCACCTTCTAAGAGGGAAAGAGGTGGTCCAGTCTCCCTCCTGAGCTGACAGCTGTGGACACTTCTAGAGCTGCTCCCCCTGCTCACAGTTCCAAGAGTTCCTCACCATATGGACACAGTGCCTCTGAGGTGGCAAGGCAAAGCACAATGCAAGGGGTTTGGGTGGAAAGCAAGCACCACATTCCTCTGAAAGAAGTCAGTAACCACTAAAACCCTGGATTTGAGCTTTTCAGACTTTCTAGAATGCAGCCAGCCTTACAAGGACTGATTGCATGCAAGCAATGTGGCCTGGATACATCTTGGTGCTTGCAAGACTGGGATTGGTGCAGATATATGTGTTGTAGCGCTGATATGAACAAGAACCCCTCTCTACAAAGGGGGAGCGAAGCAGATCCTCATCACAGCACCCTCATGTAAAACACAACTTTGGACAGCCAGAAGTCTCTCTACATCCTAAGGCAAGAAGAGGAATGACTTCCCACATTGGACATTACATATGCCACAGGAGTATTTTCCAGAGAGGAGAGGGAGATGATTCTAAAATAAGAAATAAAATGTCAACCCCCAGATATTTCTAAGAACTGAAAGTACTGAACATTTGCCCACAGCTGCCATGGTTGAGAGGTGCTCTCAGGGCCTGGCTGGTGGCCAGCAGACAGCTCCTATGAGAGCATGTTTCTCTCTTGCTGTCTTTCATTCTAGCAAGAAGCGAAATAAGAGGCTGCTTTACCTTCGTGTTTGTTTGTGTCCATGGCTGCTATGGGGAGTGCGGCCTCGCAGGGACTCGTGTCCTCACTCGGGAGGGCTCTGGCTGGTCACTGGGAACATCCCATGGCTTACAGCTGCCCACATGGGAGCCCTGGGCTGGGGCAGCTCATCTGAACCCTGAGTGCAGAAAGATGCAGAAAGGGTTTATTGAGCAGAGCTGCTCAAAGTTCAGGCAACAGAGAAAGGAGGAGGGATTTGAGAGAGAAGGAAGCATCCTAAAGATCTGTTTGGGTTCACAGAGTGGATGCTGGTACAAACACTTCCCTCCCAGCCCAAGGCCATTTGTGCTTCCATGGACAGGTGACTAAAAGGTTCTATGTAGTCCCACAGAGACTGTTTTCTCAGCAAGGTACTTCCTGTGTGAACACTGAATCAAAACATGCTGTAGTTTGAACAGCACATGAACACCTTGCACAGGTGTTCTGCATCCAAGAGCCAGCTTTTTGCTAGACAACCACCCACCCAAAATCTGCTTCAGACCTGTGTTTGGGCCACAGAAGTCCTGCCTTCAGAATGCTGCTGCACAGTTCTGCCAGCACTTTAGGAGGCACTTGTCCTGCTGTACCTGCTCTCTCTGCCCACAGCCTCCCTGACTGGGAGACACAGGAGTGCTGCAAGGCACCTCAGTGTGCAGAGGTGTGGCCTCTGTGGGAGCCAGGGACAACAGGGCATGATGCTGTGCCCAAGCCAATCCCATGGTTAAAAACATTCTTTTTTGGTATTAGGTTATTCTAGAGAATTACAAGACTGCAAGTTGTTTTTAAAGTAGCTAAATCTCTCTAGAAGTTTTGAGGACCAGGTATTTAAGTGTGTGTCTCTGAGCAAAACAGATTTATAAATTCAACTTGTTAAAACTTTGCTCCCAATTTAAGTTAGTCAGCACCACAGAAAATTCCTGAGACTGGGCTGTTGAACTAGAACCAGTGTGCTTAACAGAGAACTGTTAGGTTCTGTTAGTTTAAAAATTCAGAAACTGTTAGTTTTAAAATTCAGAATTGCTTTTGCAATGCTGGGGGAAGAGGAACAAGTAGGAAAGACAAAACAGATATGTAAGAAACATGAACCTCCTCTGTTTTCACTGAAAACAAAGAAAACAGCATTTTGCTGGAAAATAATGGATTTCATTTTTGCATATTTTTGCCTATTCTATTAAGGACATGTTTAAGCACAGTCTGTATCCTCTGCAGAGCTCAGGATTGAGTCTTTGAAACTGGGACACTGGGGATGCCACCATCCCCTCCTGCTCCAGGCAAACCAGGAGTTTTGCTATCTGACTGCACTGTAAAGTAGGTTGACCTTGGTTAAGTGGGTCCAGAAAATCTTATCTGTTTTACCAGAGTAACTGTCTTTGTGTGTCCTCTATCTGCAGCCTGCAATTTCCTGAGTTACCCCTTGGTTCTTTGTTATGTTAAATAATTGAATTAACATTGGCTACTTTCCAGAATTTAGGGCTCACTGCTGTACCTGGTGAATGTGTAACATTGCCTCTCTCTCCCTGGTTCTCCTGAATTGCTGAATATAAGAAGCAAAACTAATCAGTCCTTCCTCACCACTGGAACAGAACCTGAGCCTTGCCCTGGTTTCCAGTGAAAGTTTGTCCTCTGTTCCCCACAGCTGTGCTGGGGAAGCTGTTAAATTGTCCTCAGCAGGGACAGGATTTCAGGGAGCCTGAGCTGGCTGAACAGTGTCTGGCTTGTGCCTAAAGGGTGCAAAAATGGGTTGGAGAATAGGATTGTATTTGGCCCTAAGACCCTGGATGGGGCTGCTTGGTCAAACCATGCCTCTGCTGGCAGTGGACAAGTCCTAAACTCACAACAGAATCAAGGTGAGCAGGAGCCCTGGCATGGCTCTGGTTCAGCTTCCTGCTCAAATCAAGAGTAATGTCAAACTTCCTCAGCACTCAGTCCAGCTCTGGTCTGGACAGTTCCCACACTGGAGTCCTCACAGCCTCTCTGGGCCCTCCAGTACCCTGAAGAAGAATATTTTTCCTTACATCCAGTCAGGGTTTCCCTTAGCTGCAGCTTGTACCCAGTGCCTTTCACTGTGCACCTCTGGGAAGATTCTGGACTCCATCTTTTACATCCCCCTTGAGGCAGTTAAAAGCTGGAGAGGATCCCCCCTTTGTGTTTTTGTCTCAGTCCTGAGCAAGTCTCTCCCTGTACACACAGACATGATTCCCTGTGCACATCAGCAGCAAGTGCAAGCCCTCCATGAAGCTCCTTTCCTAAACCACTACCAGGCCTCCAGCTGTGGCAAATCCAAGGTTTGTCTGACATGCCAGCCCCCACAGGGTAGTTCCCTCATCTACCAGGAGATGTTATGGCTCCTCTGCAAGCTCCCCACTGGCCAGGCTCAGTACTCAGTCACAGGGAGCCATTCCCAGGCTCCCATTCAAGCCCAGGTCCCCTGCTTTAGGGACAAGAAAAGGCAAAGATGTGATTGTTTCTTCAGAGCTGAGCACTAAAACTCATTTACACTCCTGCAGTTCTCATCTAGTCAGAATAATATCTCCAGAGCAAAGGCCAGAGAATAATTTGAAGGTGTTAAAGCCACCAGATTCCTCCATCAGGGCAAAAAGATGTATTGTCCCCTTCTGTTTCTATCTCTCCTCCAGCAGTCAAATCTGCTGGAACCAAAGAACTTCTGCAGTTTGTGACTGCCATGCTGCTGGCCACTGGTGGCCAGCAAAGATCCCTGCCCTGGTGCCTTGCACGAGCAGCTGGCACTGCAGCCAACCTGTCAACAGAGCCTGGGCCAGCACCCACTTCCCATGAGATCCCTGAGGGAGAAGGAAGGGAGGGAGGGATGGATGGATGGATGGATGGATGGATGGATGGATGGATGGATGGATGGATGGATGGGGCCCCAGTGAGTTGTGCCCTTGAGGCAGCACAGGAGTGGGGTTCCTGCACAAAGCCATGCACGGTGCAGAGAGGGGAGGCAGCTCCTGCAGCCCAAACTGCAACTGTGTGACTGTGCTCCCCCTGCCAGCACTCCCCCACACGGAATGGCACAGCTGGGGGAGAGAATCAGCTGTGCAGAGGATCACAGATCAAAAAGACTGAGGGATACACCAAACTACACCATGCAAGCAGGCAGGGTTCAGTAAAGCATTCACAGCCTAGCTTGGAGCAGAACTGTTACTGTTTGCCTGGCTTCCTGCCTCATTCTGCTTCTGAAATCATGACATGGGTAACAGTGCAGGAATCCATGTGCACTTTTGCTGCTTCAGTTATTATCATCCACAGTTTTCCTAAATAAATGCTTGGGATCTTCCTGGCGACTGTGTCAATGCTGCTGGCTGAGTTTGCTGGCTGTTTTAAATATCCCACTCAGAGAACAACCCCCAGTCCTCTAAAGAGAACAAAAAATCAGTTATTTACTCTCATCACTCTTGCACTTTGTGTCCAACTAACTCCAATGCAGCTGTCATCCAAATAAGTCAATTCAGCATGATAATTCAATTTAGCTTGTAAATGATGAGAGAAAAAAAAAAAAGCCTTTTTAAACTGTTTTAGAAACCTCACTATAAATGCAGCCTAATAGGATTGTCCAGCACACTAAGAAGCTAGATCTCCATTCAGAATCTTAGAAGAAATCAGCTGAAAATAACTGTGGGCACTGAAGATGCAAAACACTTTAAATATCATTTGATGTGTAGCACACACAATATAATTAGTTATGGCTCTAGCTTTATCCATAATATGAAAATGGCATAATTAACCCCACTCTTCATCCCAAGCCAAGTACATTTAAAACTTACCCCAGGCTAGCTGAAGATCCTTCAGCACTGGTGGTTGCTAGAGCTGGGAATTAGCAGTGAGCAAGAAAGGAGAGAGAGAGAGAGAGAGAGAGAGAGAGAGAGAGAGCAATGGTGGCTTGACGTTTCCCAGGATGGGACTGTCACATGCTAATCACTGATTTGAGATGCAAGCATAACAAAAACCTTCTAATTATATAATCTTCAGGTCACATCCTCATGTGCCCATGCGAAAACCAGGACTGTGCACTTGGAGGAAGGCGTTGCAGAATTTCTGACTTTTTAATTAGCACTGCACAGGGCTGGGGAGGGAGGGAGGGCGAGGAGCCCTGGGAAGTGACGGCAGCGGGGCCATGTGGGGCCATGTGGGGCCATGTGGGGCTGTGCTCTGGCTGCTGTGGCCCTGCTGCTTTGCCAGGCTCAGGACCTCCTGTGGCACCCAAAAAAGACAACCTCCAGTTGGGGACAGGGAAATGGGACCAGGTCCTCCCTGTCTGCTGGCACCCTGGCTTTCCTAAGGATGCCAGGGCCAAGAAGGCGCAGGGGCCAAGGGCAAGGCTGCCAAAGTAGCCATGGCAGGGGAGCAGCAACATGAACCAGCACTTGAGTATTTTCTGTTTCTTCCCAGATGATGAAAAAATTTCTTTTGAGTAAAAATAAATAAGGGCTTGGAGGGAGCAGCAGCCTCCACACCTGCTCAGTTTCTTCCCTAAGGAGGATCAGCCCTTCACTGGAGGGCTCTTTGCTCCAAAGGGAGCATGTGGAGATTGCAAGTAACCCAAGGGCAGGGCTGTCAGGGCAGTGCTTGGGCCAGCCCACCGAGCTACTCTGAAGCATAAGAATAGGGAGACATAAAGGAGGAGGCACAGTAACAAAAGGCAGACTTAATTTCTCCCCGAAAGGCAAAGATCTGCTTCAAAGATACCCTCCAGGCAGAAAATGTGAAATGTGAAACTGCACAGCCTAAATCAGTATAATTGCTGTGCAGCTGAGATAAATGTGGAGCCCTAGCAAAGGAGCTGAAAGGACAGGCTCCTAAATTAACAGAAGCTCTCTGGAAGATGTTGCTACCTATGAAGTCAAGGTCTAGGGACAGAGGACGCAGTATTTCTTTTTTAGGTTTTTTTATTTGGTGGTTTTTTGTTTGGTTGGTTTTTGGGGTTTTTTTGGTTTTTTGTTGTTGTTGGTTTTGTTGTTGCTTAGGTTTAGGTTGTTACTTAGGTTGCTTAGGGGTTTTTTTGTTTGGTTTT